TTGGGAGTGTTTTGTTGAAAAAATAAAAATAAAATGAAAGAAAACAAGGGAGAAAGAAAATAGATAAAAAATATTTATAGATGGATTATATGAAAAACATCAGTGCGATTGTTTCAAAATAAAGTGGGGTATTTAAAAAAGAGGAAAAGTGACTTGGAAAAAATAAATAAAAATAAGTGATTTTTGAAATGTAGGTAAGGAGTAGGTGAAGTGGAGGTGGTAGTGGTGTGGTGGGTTAGGTTTAGTGGAGTAGGTTTAAGTGGGTGAAGTAGGTGGAGAGTATGTGGATTTAGTGGGTTAGGTTTAGTGGAGTAGGTTTAAGTGGGTGAAGTAGGTGGAGAGTATGTGGATTTAGTGGGTTAGGTTTAGTGGAGTAGGTGAGGTGGTAGTGGTGTAGTGGGTTAGGTTTAGTGGAGTAGGTTTAAGTGGGTGAAGTAGGTGGAGAGTAGGTGGATTTTAACACTAGTATGCAATGCACACCTATTAAGAACTGTTATACTATCTCGTTGCCGTTGGATGCACCCTCTCTATATAGTGTTGGTAAGAATAATTAGTTTATTGTCCTTTAACCTTGCGGTGATATATGACTAGCCAGTCATGATATATGTTCATGCTAGCTTTTTTTTTAACTATATTTTTTTCCCTCTATTTCTCCTTCTACAATGACCACCATATTTTTTCTATACCTCATGCAGTGGCATTTCTTGTGAAGTGCAATTTGTAGATTCTAATATTTGTTTGGTTGGGGCTATAACTGAAAAAGATGATTTCTGATTTTGTTGATGCAGCTGTGGATTATATTTCTATATTTTTACATATAGTGAACTCTGCTTGACATGATGGCCAAAATATTTGGAATGGAACCCTTGGATGTTGTTAACAGGATATCATTTTTACTATTATGTGCAGTTTTCTTTATGATACGGTTAATTTGTTAATGTAAATTGATTTTCACTTCCCTCAAATTGGCAGGAAAGACTGGAGGATATTGAAAGGGACCAACGTGAATATACATTAGACGATGAGGACAAGAAGGTTCAAGACGTAATTCTTAAACCAGACCCTTCAAAAAATGACATTATGTGGTTGAAGAAAACTCTTTCTTGTTCCTACCCAAACTTGCCTTTTAATGAGGCACTTCAAAAAGAAAATGAAAAGCTTCAGTTAGAACTACAACGTTCACAAGCCAATTTGGATGTGGGTGAGTGTGAAGAATTCAACATCTGCTTGATGTCACAGACGCTGATGCCGTAAATTCTGTATCTGAGAAGAGTTCACCCATGAGAATTTCCAAAAAGGTGGAGCAGAATTATTCGGATGTTAATAGTGAAAAGAAGCATTCATATGATGAAAGCTACACTAAGCAAAGTGAGACTCACTCAACTTCAAGGTTTGTTTTCTCTCATTTTTTTTGTTTTTGTTTTTGTTTGTTTGTTGTTGTTGTTGTAGAAGAGAGTGAAATCATTCCTTAAAATGCAGTTTGTGTTGGTGTCAAATGGCCTATATTGCCTCATTAATTTGAAACCTGTGCTTATCAGAAAACAGTTAATGTATTTACTCCGTCATGTAATTCATTGAATCATCAACAAATTTTGACTAGTAGATTGCTTGAATTCTTAACTCAGTTGCCTAATATGAGAATTCTCTGTTTAAATTATTTGCAGAAACACTTCCTCAGTATTATCCGGACATGATCTGTTATCTACTAGAGGTTCAAATTGGGATGATGAATGGCATTCAAATTTGCTCGGCTGTTGTTCTGAACCTATGTTATATGATTATATCACAGCACTTGTTATTCAACTGCATGATGCCAGAACAACCACCTATTTTGTGTATTTTCTAAATGAACACGTGTTGATTGGATTATCAGATATAAATTTAAAGTCAGTTTCGTTTTCTATGTTCTACCTTTCTAGAGCAGAGAGGTAGTATTGTGGAGTAACTTCTATTTGCCTTCCTCTTTCCTCTACATAGACTGATAATTAGGACATAGGATGTAAAGGGGATTTCTACTTATTTGTGTTTTCTTTTCCTTTTTGAGTCAATTCTTTATTGGTCTGGTACCCTTTGCAAATTACAAATTATAAGATGCAAAGATTCTTTATTGGTCGGATTCAATATGTGTGTAGAGATAGTTAATTGTGTTAGATGTGTCTTTTCAGCTGAACTTTTTTAATTAGCTCATTGTTGAGGCCTTGAAAGTATATAACTCATTGATTTTTTCCTTGTGCTGATTACAGGACAACTTGCTCGGGAAGTTTACGAGAACATTAGGAGATAAGCTTCTTGTCTGAGAATTCAGAGAGATTTTCGCATGCATCTTGCTAGGAAAGCTTATAAAGAATTGTGCTTTTTTGCTGTTTCTATTCAGGCTGGTATGCGTGGAATGGTTGCACGTGATGAGCTTTGCTTCAGAAGGCAGATTGCTTTTTATGGAAAGCTTTCATTGCTGTATTCTCTTAGACTACTTGACTACATGAATTGTGCATTTGGATGTATTAGTAGGAACTCCAACAATTTCTTTTACACTGCTTCTGTTCAACTAAGTTCTTTAAAATAACCATATTATAACCTTTTATAATAATGTTTTTCTTTTGGAGAGCAGTACGAAAGCTGTCTCTTAGAATCTCCAAATACTTCTTCATGGGTTTAAAATTAACACAATTTCAAAAAAAAAAAATTAAAAAGGATATCACGGCGTTTTTCAAAACGCCATTTAAACCCTAAATCTAACGGTCAATTTTTTTAAAAAGATACGATGGTGTTTTAAAAACGTCGCTAAATATCATAGTACTATTATGTAGGACATTTGGTGGCATTTTTAAAGACGCCGCCTATACTAATATAACGACATTTTTAAAACGCTATAAAGCTATAGCGACGGCTGCGATTTCGGCGTTTAATATTAAACGTCACAAAAAGAATTAGCGATGTTTTTTCACCTATGGCGGCTGCTAAATACTATTTTCCAGCAGTGTATTGAAATAGTATTTTTCCCATTAAATTAGACTGCAATGATTATTGATTCGCATCTCTAATTAGATCACATAAACAAAAATTATAATTGTGGGAACTAATAGACGAAATAGAAACAATGATGATAGTTTAAAGTGAAATACCCACCAAAAAATCTATTGAGATTATAAGACTAGTTCCAGACCTAATCGATTTGCAGCATCATCCAATCCAATCGAGTCCACGCCATCTTGATTATAAAAGTTAAGAAAACTAAACAAAAATCATTATGTTACAAAACTACCCAGATTCACCAAGAAATATATAGATATAGATTTAGAGAGAGAGAGAGAGAGAGAGAGAGAGAAGGAGAGGGATTCCTTGGAGCACAAGAGGCCGAGAGATTTCTCTTTGCGGCTATTGGAGCTCAAGATAATTTTAATCAGTGTGTTTGGTTTTGATTTTTTGAATTTAATTTTTTTAAAATTAAATTTAATTTTTTTTGTTTTTTTATTTTTAGTAAATATTTTTAAAATTTTAAGTAATTTTTTACTTTTTTTAGATGCATCTTACATATATCTAAATAGTAAAATATTTTAAAAAATTAATAAATACACACAAATATAAAAAAATGTACTAAATTTTTGAATTTTTGGTATTTTTTGTGAATTTTTTAAACATTTTTTTGAAAAAAATTGTTTAAGGTCCTTCTCCCATTTTTAGTAATGGAAGAGAACTACTATTATTTTATGATGTCTAAGGTCCCTCAACCCCCACACCCCTATATTACAGAGAAATTTGACTCTCTCAAATCAAACTTCATTTCTCTCTCTCTCTACTTCAATACTGTTTAAACCTTAGCTCTCACCAATCTTCTTCTTCTCTTTCTACAAAAATGACAAACAACGGTCGACCACTCGCTGAGATTGTGATTTTGAAAGGTATGATTTAATACATTGCAAAAAAGGGTTTGATCCACTCGTTGATATGAATGTTTTTTATGATTTCATCAAGAAATCGTTGCACATTGATGTTAGCAAGACCCAATTGTTTGAAAAAGTGAGGAGGCTGAAGAAGAAGTATGAGAACAATGCTAGCAAAAGTAAAATGGGCGAGGATCGGACTTTTTCGAAGGCTCATGAGCAAAAAACATATGAATTGTTGAAAAAGATGTGGTTTGGTGAAGCTAATTCTGTAGGTGTTGATAGTGCAAAGGTTAATGGGAAAGCAATGAAGAATCAGAGTCAAAGAGCTATTGTAGCTTCGCCAAGGGATTGATAGTAGGAAGGAAGAAACAAAGATGCAGGTTGAGCCAAGTGTAAGGGTGTCTCTCTCATAATTTAACTTGGTTTTCAATTTCTTCTTCTGTGAATTGTGTATTTTTCTACAACTTGTGTTTAGCTCATATTCACTGTAATTTATGTAACTGAATGGGAATTGGTTCTTACTCTGTTTTGTTTCTGTGAAATTTTCCTCCCAGATTTGGTCATATTGAATTGGAATTAAGCTTGTTATGTTTGAACTTTTGCTAAATTTATTTTCTTGTTAGATTGTTCTTCTTTACTCTTTTGGGAAGTGATTTTGTTTTGAAATTTCTCTATATTCCCAGAATTTCTCTGGAGGAAGAAGATGATGAACAAAGAAGATGATAATGAATGCTTTAGGAATTTCTCTGAGCTTCTCAGAATTTTCTTTGGACAAAGAAGATGATGAAGGCTTTAGGAATTTTTCTAAGAAGTTCAGAATTTCTCTAGACAAAGAAGATAATGAAAGGCTTTAGGAATTTCTCTGGGAAGTCCATAATTTCTCTAGACTTCTCAGAATTTCTCTGGACAAAGAAGATGATGAAGGCTTTAGGAATTTCTTTGGAAAGTCTATAATTTCTCTGGACTTCTCAAAATTTCTCTAGACAAAGAAGATGATGAAGGCTTTAGGAATTTCTCTGGACAAAGATAAAGGCATAAGTTAGAAATTTCTTTGGAAAGTTTAGAATTTCTCTGAAGAGTGAAGTCCAGAGAAATTTTCAGAATTTCTCTAGATCAAATTTTTTTTGGGTCGAATTTTCTCTGGATCGATGTTAAGGGATCTTAGATATTATGAAAATATTGAGTGTCTTTTATACTATAAAATCTTAATACCAGGGATCTTAAAAAAAAATCCCCTATTTTTTTTTATAAATATTATACTTTTTAAGTGTATTTATGTTAAGTGTGTCTAAAAATTACAAAAATTGATGGAAATATTAAAAAAAATCAGTAAAAAATAAAAAAATATGAAAAATGAAAAAGTAGAATTTTCTGAAAATGAAAACCGGTGAATGTTGTTTAAAAAATTAATTTGAAGAAAAAAAAAATCTAAAGACAAGTTGTTTTTAAATTGGGAAAATTGTTTCACATAAAAGTAAGGAGTAATGAAGTTTTGAACTTTTATTTTGTTTCTAAAAATACAAAAAACGAAATCAATACCAAATAAACATTTCTCTCTTACATTGAGATCAAATATGTTTTCAGATTGAACAAGGGAGTAATGTGCGAGGTAATTTTAGGGAATGCCTTCTGAAAAACAAAGAGAAAAAAAAAAAAAAAATTGAGTTGATTTGCTAATTAAATTTTAAAGTATGTCCACATTAAAAAAATATATATTGTAATTAAACTTAAATTAAGATTTGTTAATTCCTCTAAGAGGATTCACACTATCCATCCAAGTCTTGAAATGTTAATTTTTTAGGTTATATTTTGATCACAAACTCTTTTGCAGAAAATTGAATTTCAAATAAAAATAGAATTAGAATAAAATAAAGATTCACTTAATTCCTCCAAGTGGGTTCAGGCTACAGAACAAAAAAAGCATCAAAATGTTACTTTTATGGGTAAATTTAAACCCCTCAAAAAAAGGATGAAGAAATCCAAGAGGTTGTTGTTTGATTTGAAACAATATTTTTGGCAGCTCCATCACTGGTAGAGAAACCATAGAAAGCTTTATAGCCACTTCATTTTGCTTCACCACCGCCAAAACAACATAAACAACTTTTTTTTCAATTCAAGCAAACAACCTGAAATTCAAGATGCCTCAAAGTAACCACAAGAGAAATAGTGAAATCTCATTTCTAAATTTAATAAATCAATCATCACATTAACCCATACAAACACAAGTATCTGAAAGCAAAAGCAGAATGAAAATTGTGCTGAGAAAAATAGCAAACTAGTTCTTGACACTGCCAAAAGACAGGAACAACAATAGAAACAAAAACAAAACTGAAATCTATTAGTATTAATCGACTGTGGTCACCTGTTGCCACTCCCCATCAACTGCTTCTTTCCACAATGTGACGTTGTTGTCCCCAGCAGCCACAGCCAACAAGTTTCCCGTCAAGGACCATGAGACCCTCCAAACAGGGGTCTTAAAGTCCTTCAAAACTTTACCTTCCCATTCATTGCCTTCTTTTGCCACAGTCCATATGACAACTGTACCATCCTGCGAAGCACTTGCAATAGTAGACTTTGGAAGGCCCAAGTTGGGTGCCCAAGCCACATCCCTCACCCAATCAGCGTGCATCTGCAACGCAGGGAAGCAGTCCATCTTCCAATTTCCATTATATAGCTTCCACACCTTTACAGTATTATCACAGCCACCAGAAGCCAGCTTCTGAACAGGATCGAGTATGCCACATCCAACTAGAGCACCAGGAGCCATAGAAGGGGCCCATGAAACTGAGGTCACTCCAAGAGGGTGGGCTTGGTCTATCCTGGTGGTATCCCAACCACCATCAGATCTGGCAGTGAAGACTGAGATATTCCCATCAGAAGATCCACAAGCTAAGCAGAGGCCAAGTTCATGCGGTGCCCAAGCAATTGAATTGACAGATGATTTATGGTCGGTGAAAACATGAGCCTGTGTCCACTCATTTCGATTACCTTCCTTCCAAATTATTACTCTACCATCATAAGAACAGGAAGCGAGGATTGATCCAAATTTGGGATGAGCCCAAGCAACCTGCCAAACTGGGCCTTGATGTCCAGTCAGTGTTGCAAGGTGCTGTGAAGTAGAGTTGTTGCTTACACCAATTATTTTGATAGTGGTATCGGATGAACCGGTTGCTACACGCTTTCCAAAGTAATCCATGGATACATCATGAACTGTGTCATTGTGACCTGTATCAATCTTCTGGGCCGGCATCTTTCCTTGATTTTTTATCACAATGATTCCGCTTACAACCTTCCTTTACTTACTAGTTTGACGTTATATAGTACCTTCCAAGCTACAATTGTGATCAGAGTCAAATTAGATCATTAAACAAATGGCCACTAATTGTTGAAACACAACAGTAATTTGGTGAAATCATTCTTCAAAACACAAGCAACTCTAAATAATAAGCAAAATACACTCTTACAACGCAAGAAAATTATTTTTCAATAAATAAAAAAACAAATCCTAACAATATAGAAATATGGAATTTGGACATGTAAGAATCTTATATTGCATGTTGAGAATCAACATGATTCAACCAGTTATTTGTTCCCACAGAAGAAATCACTCAGTAAACAATTAATCCCTTGTCTGACAAACACCAGTCTCTTAAAAAAACACATCCTTCTGAAGGCATGTAACTAGCTTTTGCATTCACCTCCTAAGCTTATATTCCAGTATTAATCATCTACTTTAATGCCAGAAGTTGGAAGACCTAACTGGTTTGAAGGCTGTGTTGAATCTACGCTATGTGATCGTGTGATTATTGAATCTAGGTTGTTCCCCTCAAGTGACGCGTTGCGCCTGTTTCCGGGTGTTTCGAAAAGTGAGTAAGGGGCGCCGCATCGACGCCTGGGTGCTGTGGAAAATGGGCAAAGGTTCCCGTATTTTTCTGAACGAGCGCGGGTAAAGAAACTAGTTCAAGAATATAAGTCTAGGGTAGCTACTTGGAATATAGGAACCTTAAGACAATAGAATTGGTAGATGTTATGATTAGGAAGAGAGTTAGCATAGCATGCGTACAAGAAACTAAGTGGACGGGTGAAAAAGCTAAGGAAATTGAGGATACCGGTTTTAAACTGTATTATAGTGGTAAGGATAGACGCAAGAATCGGGTAGGAATCATAGTTGCCAAGGGTTTTATGGAAAATGTAGTGGTGGTCATTAGAGAAAGGAAATGTTGGTTTGACTTATTCTCTACAGATAGCACCAAAGGCTCGACCCTATACTATCACAATTTCCTGTTAATTAGTTCTTGATACATACATACATACACACCAAAATGGGGACCACTATTCTCAATTGGTACTTTATCTTATTTTTTGACCATGCTACTTTGCTTCCGACCCTAATGGCCAACATTGGCCAACTCGATAAGGTGTGGCAAAGGCGAACAAAGGAAGCAGAAGAGACCGCCCTTAATTCCAATGAATCAGATCCTTCAATAGTCACTAATAGCTTAAACAAAGAAGTTCACAGGTAGGTGTTTTATTTTGACATCAAGGCTAATATATATCATTGACATATTATAATCAATATATAGATAGTTGATATTTATGCATATATATATTTTGTGCAGGACTTTAAAGAGCATCAAATTGACAAGCAATGCCACTATGTCAAGCGACATCCATTTGACAAGCAACAGCACTAGAAGGTACCTAAAGGGAAAACGATACGGTAGTCCATGCTTGGCTACCAACCCAATTGATAGGTGTTTGGAGATGCCAACCAAACTGGCATCTTAACCGAAAGAGACTAGCAGATTGCGTCCTTGGCTTTGGTTACAAGACAACCGGTGGTAAGGCTGGAAAATTTTATGTTGTGACAGATAATTCAGACGATTCTAGTAGACCAAAACCCAGAAGCCTCTGCCATGCTGTGAGCCAAAAGGAGCCATTGTGGATCATATTCGCACGCAGCATGAATATTAGGCTAACTGAGGAGTTGATCATGCAGGGTGATAAGATTATTGATGGCCGTGGTGCTCATGCAAACATTATTGGTGGGGCTGGTATCACCATCCAGTCTATAAAGAATGTGATCATTCATAATCTTCATATACGGAATATTGTTTCTGCCAATGGTGGCAACGTCATAGATGCCGTTGACCACATTGGCTTTAGGACGAGGAGTGATGGGGATGGCATTTCAATATATGGATCTTCCAATGT